GGGGGGGGGGAAACGCAAAGGGGGGGGGGGAAATAGACCCGGGTCTATTTCGCCAGCTGTTTATGTGCAGATTGACAATGGTATCGTCAAAGGGTCAAGGACTCATTGAGAAGGGTTGTGATGAGAATTCGACCTCGTTTTCTGGTCAACTCAAGCTGTGTGCAACTCCTGTCTGATCACAGATCATGGGTGCAGGTTGTTGCGGCTTCCCGTTGTTCTTCTTCCTTGATGATCATGTCTGCCTATCGCCTCACGCGCACACCGTGCAGCCAGAATACACACCAGCCGATTTCCACGCACACTAATCGCACACGATCGAACCCGATCGCACACACCGAACAGAAGGGCACAAGACTCGCCATGAAGCCGCAATCTCGCCATGACGTTCTTAACAAAACATCTATCTGACGACGGTAACTAACCATATGGATGGATAAAAAAACGCCATCACATGGCTATGTACCTCCAAATACCATGTCAATGTCACGGGGCACCAACGACAATATCAAAAGAATAGGGGCTCGCGGCACCTTTGAACGCTTGGTTGGGGATATCAGCATCACATCTGTGACCAATCACATTTATATTCGTCGGATTCAAACTTGACAACCCTTGGCGAAAAAAAAAGAAAACAATGCAGACTTCATACTAGACCATTAAAACAGCAACAATCAAACGTAGAACAGTAGTACACACGTGAACAGTGTAATTACTTGCTATTCCCATCGACCATCCCACGGCCACGTCCATCGTCGTTCGCATAGCGCTGACGAGCATCGGATCATCAGCCCTCTCGTATATAACCCATTTTTATCCCGCATCTGCTACGTCAGCCTGCTCGAGCGCTGATGTCAATGTCGCCTCAAAGTCGCCAATAGGCTCAGGTCCGAAGACCTGTACCTTTCCGAAGTGGTGTGCGAGAGCAGCACTCAACTGCGCCACCACGTTCCTGTCGGCACGCGTGCGAAAGAAGGTAGAGCGGCGGGTGTGGGGGCCCCGGCCCATCATCAGCGCGAGGAATGCTCGGGTACTTCATCAACGCCGACACGCAAAAACAGCTCATCTCGAGGAAGAATTAAAAAAAACATGGCGACAGGGAGCTGCAGGTAGTTTATTCCCGATTCGAACGTTGTTGATTTAAGGGAATTGTGTATCCGAATACCAAGTGTAAATACCGCGGAAACATGTAATGTGCATAGAAAAGGAAATATCACCTCTAGACACAGAAATGTGACGTTGTCACTATTTCACTGGTTGAGCTTTGCAACGGCAGACCGAGGGGTTGCCCACCCTCGCGGTACATTCACATACGCATATGCAAACCACGCTTGTTTGCATTCTTGCACAGCAGCGACGATCAAAGATGAGAAATACCACAAGGCTGTTTTCTTGGCCGCTACGTTACCTTTCACAGCGAGCACCAGCGGCAACGTACATGCAGTAGGGGTGGTCACAGATGTCTGACACGCCTGTGCACTCCTCGAACGGCGGTGCCGGCGAGAGTCTCGCTGGTCGCATGGGGTTGTAAGCCGCCCTCAACGCCTCGTATTGCTCTCGCCGGCGGGCATTGGCCAGCGCCCAAAGCTGAGTGTGAGCGCTGTGCGACCTGGTGTCGAGAACGCGGTTTTCACGGGCGAGCGGATGGTTTTGGACAAAAACATCCTTCTGCAACGTGGGACGACACGGAAGACAGACATGATTTTGACAGACTAGGGTTAACGAAGATGCCACCCGGCAGCGGGACAGGTCACAGCAGGGCAGTGGCCTTCGCAGGTTTTTCGTGTCAAGCAAACATGTGTTGGATAAAGCATACAATCGGAGAAGCGAGGGTAGGGTTAGGGTTGGGGAATAGAGACTGTGCCCCCCCTCCCTTTTCTAATTCCTCGTAAACTTATTGATCTCGCCAAGGCGGCCCCAGCGGGAACAGTGCGATTCCGAAACAAACAGAACAATATGCTTGCTGTCAATCATGAAGCTGAGCTACAGTAGCTCATTGACGGAAACTACGCTCGGCGCTTCGCTCTGGTCCTGGGACGAGCAGACTCACCGAGGGTTGTAGCGACATAGGCCCGGGTAACGCAGCAACGCACTCACGCTCCGGTGGAAGGATTCCCCCGACGCGGCGGGTTCGTTGTTGAGGGCCTGGAGGAAGGAGAGATTTCTGCTCGAGAGGACGCGTTCGATCACACCACGGTGCAAATGGATCAGTACATACAACACTACTCGCTCTTCTCGTGGTCGGCGTCCGGAAAAATGTGCCGGAGGGGGAACGTTCGTTCGGGTGCCCTGCGGACAGGCAAGGTCTACTTTTTCCTTCCTACTCAATCCAGCTCGTCTGCACTGGCTACTGGCAGAGGGGGGGCGGGGGGCGTACTCTTATGTTTTGCATGCCTTAGCAGTTAGACCATTGACCGCGCGTCCTCGAGAGGACGGAGCATTGTTCCCACAGGACCGATCACCGATGGCCAATCGGGGGGGGGCACTAGACGTTGTGTGTGAGCACGCAGTCACAATCCTCCTTTTGGTGTACGCAATGACAACAATGAATATACTCCAGAATAATGGCGCAGTGGTAAGACTAACACTCCCCGCTGGCCATCGAGCACACTCACAACGCCTTGATGTTGTACAAATACACTCAAGACCACGCAACGAAGACTAGGCGATGGCTCCCTCAGAAAACCAGCTCACATGTAGTACAGCAGACTACCGAGCCCCGAATGCATCTTGGAACTATCCCCCGCCATCATTGCCGGGAGCGGACACGAGCGAGAAGCGAGAGGCACAAACAAACTCGAAAAAAGCGAACAGTAAGAGACAGAGTTTCTTTGGACGGGAATACGGTGTGGGCCCCACGTCACCATCGTAGCCACCCGCACACCCACGGAGCTCCCGAGAGCCAGGAGACCCTTACGAACGTTGTGGTTGCAACTCTACCACGCGCGACACTCGAACTGTTCAGGGTATATAGCGGTCGCCGTCCCCCGTGATGTGACCTTCAGGAGGAAAGCAAGGGGGAGGCAATAATACTCGCATCGTGAAGATGTCGTGCTTTCAGGATCAGGGGGAGCGCATAGGCGGCCTACCGGCTGCACGACAACCGAAATGAGCAGACAGCGTGCACCAAAAAGCACATGCATGCCTGCTATCAGTAGTTCCTTGAAAATCCCATCCATCCACCCTTAGAGATCACACATATTTTCGCGTTCCTCCTCCTCACCGCAAAAGAAAGCCATTCGCGCGGAGCAGTTCCGGCATCGCCTCCTTCATCCCTTGCAAGGGATCGGTGGGGGTAGGCAGAGCGAGACCCCCTTCCTTTGTCGGCAGAGGCGTGTCGACGAGCCCTCCCACCACCCCCTCCGCATCGTCAGTCCCTCCACAAGTGGGCGACGGTCTCGAGGCCGCCGCCGCGGCTTGTGGCAAATTTTGTTTTCCCTCGGCAATCCCGGCGCCCCCGTCTCCCCCAAGATGAGTTGATCGATGCGCGTATCGACAGCAAGGACGAGGCCACAGATGTCTTGTTCCACGACCTGCTCTGGCAGCTACACGATCGCCGGGTGCAACAACGGATAAAGCAGCGCCGGCGGGGGGGAGGCGGGGGTGTTCTCATAGTCGTGCATGCCGTACAGTAGTCGTTGGACCATTGACCGCGCATCCATACAAAGCCGGGACGGAGCACGCCGGTTATTCACCGGACCAGGCTCTCACATCACCAAGCGCGAAGCGCAGTGAGGTACTCGGCGAGTCGCATGGAGGGTGCGCTGCATCCTGCCAAGGGTGTTCGGTATCTTGTGCTCACTTCCTCGGATATATATGGCAGCTGCGACCGACTTGACTTATTTTCTGGTGCTTTCACTTCCAAAGATAGTAATAAGCACTGTGAAACTGCCTCGACGGTACTCGACCAATTTAACGCAGCATGCTACTGCACGATCGTCCCCTTTGCACGGAGTGAGGGTTCTCGACCCCGCACAACATGACCTACTCGACCACCATAATGGACCCGCAAAAAAAAATAAGTCGAAGGCAAAAAAAAGCGGTAATCTGGTTCAGGAGCTCCAGAAGCGATCGACGTGTTTTACATCGCCGTTCGTTGCCAAGCGACAACAAACCCACGAGGGGGAGGGGGGCAGCTTGGTCTCAGGGGCAATTGAGCGAGAGGGTCTACCCGCAGAAGGAGCGCTTACTTCCAAAAACCATATTATACAAAAAATGGCAATTCATTCTGGTCCACGATGCCGAGCATACACAAGAGGAAATTGAAACGTTGCCGGTTTTGCACGAGTTTCGTCAGCAACATTACAGCCCCTCCTTCTTCGAACTCACCTTCCAAATGGGGGCCACGCTCTGGCAGTAGGCATCTATGTCCTTCCTCGAGGCGAGGCCTACCTCGAGCACCCAAGCCTTCCCGGCGTACCTAAGCAGGTCGTACACTCCCTGCGGTGAGCGGCGCAATTGTGCAGCGAGGCATTGGAAACACAACGTCCAGCGAGTGTGTCACGCCAAGAACTCGCCAACAGAGGCAACGCCGCGCCGCAACGCACCGCGCCCCGCACCCCGCGTAGGCAACTCGCGGGCCCAGAGACCTCTAGGGTCGTGTGAAAGAGCCGGACCACCACCAGTTGAAAGCCAACGCCAAAGGCGGACGCCCCCACCAATGGGCTCGTCCTCCCAAGGAACCCCCCCCCTAAATGATCTCTCTGAAAACACACGCCTACTGCTGTACCTATGCATGAATACCTGGATCATCAATCTCCCGGAACATGGACAAAAGAGAAATGCGCCCTGTCGTGTCTCCCGAATGGCGGGTTGTCCTCCCTCAAAGTCGGCTTTCGATTCTGGGGCGACAGTTGCGTTCTAGGTTAAAAGTTCCACTACCCGTTCCGACGTTGGGCGACAAGTGGAAACGCCCCCAACAACTAAGGAAGCACTACATTAGCCCGAGCTCCGAACACAAAACGTCCTCCATCCCGCCGCAGCAGTCTCGTCGTAGACACTGGTGTTCGCGGTTCTCACCAACGGGACTTGTCCCGGGGGCAGGGCGCTCACGGCGCTGTTCGCGAGGTCCACGTATCGGTGGTTGTTGACGTGAGAGTCACAATATATAGGCGTGTTCGGAGTAGGGGGGAAGGGATACATGACAAGATGATACTCACCCCGTGCCAACACGGCAGCGGGCGAATCGCTGGTCCCGCCATAAGAAATCGCGGCTGTAATGCTCGACCCGTTGGGGGAGCTCTCAACCAGCCGCACAGGAGAGAACGCCAAAGAGGAGACCCGTGTGGACGCGCTCCGAGCTTAACAGAAATACCCGGTCAAACCAAGAATGGAAATAGATACTGATTGCCCGATCCTTTGCACCGCGGCTTCCAAAGAAATCGCACCACATTTTCCACCCAAGGCCGCGACCATTTCACACCCAAACGGGATATCGTGCGGTACATACATGTGTTCAAGGCGTATGGAAGCAGGAGTGACTTCGACGACGACAGCGACTACGGTACATGGCGGTGCCCGTCATGGACGGTAGGTCACCACCGCTGTGTGAAGGGCAGGAACTCACCTGATCGCCAAGGAAGTTGTGCACGAAGGCCATGGCGAGGTTGGCCCTGCGTTCCAAAAACAAAGAAATGGTGGATGGACGACGATTGGTTGCGGTATCGAATGAATGTACTGGCAACAGGAGCACAGGTGCCAAGCAGATGCACTGACAGCGAGATTGGCCACCCTGCTCTCAGTCTTCGCACGCGCCTTCTTTTGATGAGAAACATGGAGGTGCCAGATGTTTCAACTCACTCACAGGAAAACACAAAAATCTCGCTAGAACTCCTTACCTGGCCATGCCGAGGGTAGCTTAATTGGACAGGACGCTATTGCATCCCTCGCGAAATGGACGTACCACTGCACCTGTTGTGTCGCGATTGAGGACGGTCATGCGTAGTTCGTTGGAACACAGGACAAGAACACGGGTGTCGGCAGAGGTGTAGCGCTCTTGTTTGCTACAAAACATGATCCATCAGCACGTGAGTAGTAGATCAATCGAGAACGGTGTCCAGCACTGGAGCGACATGCCTGCTGCACCCTGCGTTAGCCACCAAGGAGCGGCCTTCGTTTCCCACCCACATGTGCCAAAGGGTACCCCCGCACGAGAGCACCGAGGGCGATCGCGCACCACAGGATACACGTAGAGGCATCTCGCGGCAACGCTGCATCCTCGGTCGTCACCGCATTGCGCCAGCACGCCTCCTCTGTCCGGACGCTGCTACTCAACGGGGTCGCTTCGGTATCGTCCTCCTCGGCCAGCCCGCACCTGGCGGCGGCAGGAGAAGGCCCACACGACGCTGCCCCTCGCTGATTCAGCAAGTTGGCCTGCATTACGCTCACCATCGCGCCGCGGACGTCACTGTCGAGAGGGACCGAACGCACGCTGGGAAGGTGAAGTGCGCAGAAAGGCACGCTAGGGAAAGTTGAAGGAAAACTTCGGCCTCGGGGGAACGAGGCTTTTTGCGATACGGGCAGCATTATTCGTGGTGATAATCAAACCACAAGGGACGCGGGTACAATACCGAGGCATTGACCAGGTGAACTCGCTGCCGTCATACATGCGTTGTAACTATTGTTGATACTTCCGCGGTACAATACCGAGGCATTGACCGGGTGAAATTGCTGCCGTCATACATACGTTGTAACTATTGTTGATACTTCCGCGGGGTGCTATCAAGAGCCTCAGCAGCGAAATCGCAAGCTTCTTGCTCCTGCGCGGCATGGCCACACCTTGCCGAAGCCCCGGCGAATCGCATAATAAATGACACTAAGTGATGCCTCATCGGTTCGCAAAATAAAACAACGCAACCAAAAAATACGCCTGTCGTGTTCACCGTCAATCCGGGAAACGAGGCCGCTGCAATCATCCCTGAAAGCGGGCTGCGAGACTTTCGAGGCCAGCATTGGGACCGGTGGAAGGTTCCTCAGCGAGGACGACAGCTATATATTTGGCCGGTGCAATCCCTCCTTAACGACTACTTATGTCCCGTGACTGTTGTTGTGGCACACAAGCACACAACGACACTGCGCCATGTCCCCTGTGAAGACCACATTCCACTTAAAATTAAGAATATATCCGCCTACACAGATGCTTTTGTTCTTAGCTCCAACTGGCATCACTGATAACTCAGTGATAGGCTTACACGAACTCAAAATAAGCCAAGTCTCCAGTTGGTTTCAATCCACTTACTGAAAAGACTTCACCACATCCTTTTCGACTGAGGTTATATCTCGAACGGGTAGTCTTTCTGTGAGGCTATGTTTACTCTCTCAAAACAAACACACGCACCTCTCGCTCGCTAGGGGAAGGAAGCCCAAGCAGCCGAAAAAGTCTCCCAGAAGTTCATTCTCGAGCAGGCCTGGTAGGTCGGTTGCCGGGGAAGGGCGGAGCCGGACCCTGAGAGAGACGAGACAGAGCGTTCGAACGCGCGACAAGAAAGCAGCACCGGGGGGGGCGGGGCTGTTATAAGGTCCTGTCTCAGCCAGGTAAATGGTTAAATTTTTACCGGGTGGCTGAGTGGTCAACCTCCTTAACAGGGCGATGTCGGGAAAACGGAAAAAGCCTGACACGCCGAGAGGCTTCAGAGGCTTCGTGGCTATTTTTTGTCCGGCGAGAGACTTTGACGGGCGCAGCACCCAACACCAAGTGCTTTTTTTTGCAGATTAACATCGGGGGTACCTACTGCTTGATATCGTTGTGTGTTCACTACGTACACACCGCGCGCTCTTCTTCTTGCTTTGAAGAAGATATCGTACACGCCCGCCGGCCGAATCTCAGAAGAACCAATCATCAGTGATTGCACATCGCTATAGTAGTATGTAGTTCCTTCACCTCTTGAGTGGGAGCACCAAGCCCATGGCTTCCCCGACAGCCGTCCCCGAAACCCCGTTCACGGTGCTGCGTGGTTCCCCCTTCTCGGCGGCCTCGTCGCCTGCCCCTTCGTCCGTGGTCCAAAAGCTTAGGCCGGCGGGGAGCGAAAGTTGTCCGACCTCCCCTGAGGCTGAAACCAGGGTCGTGATCATGGATTAAGACATCCCCGGGAATGCCCTGATGCTGTAGTGGCACTCCTGCACCCCCCTTGCGACACAATAGCTGCCGGCACGTCGCCGGAAGCGAGGGAGGGGGGAAGAGGTAGGTGCCGGAATGTGTCAAGTGAGGCTGGGAAATGCTGTATGGACGTGCCCACGCTTGCTTGTGTGTACACTATTTAGCAGTCTCAACTCGAAAACGAAGGGTCGTCTTATGTGTGTGACATCAACGTTTTCTCTGTAAAAAACTGGACAAGTCACTCATCATTGGTTGTACTGAGTCGTCCGACCCAATTCTTCAATTGATTTTTCAGTTTCGTCACCAGCGAGGAGACAAGAGGGCGGTACACCAACAACACGCTCCTACGCACCACTATTGGTGAGGCGTATGTACTCTGCCGTACAAATCACCTGTAGCCATTTGGTCACCCTGTGCGGACCTTGCAGGCAAATAGACCCTGTACGGACGCTGTGACACCCTGCCAAGGTAATCGGTCCCCACAAGGTCCACAGGAACCCTGTCAGGGTGTCGACCCTGCCAGGGTTGTATAAGTCGGTCCGTACGATACATGTGTAGGACTTTAAGGTGTGTTTGGCCTAGAGGATACAGCCCCAGCAGTCTACCGATGGTCCAGCCGTCTACTAATGGACACGGCCGTTACTTTTTTGGATGGTGTTCGCTGGTGTTCCCTGCTGCAGGGAAAGTGACAGTCCCGCGTTGACACGTTTTTTGTGGGAATATATATGTGTTTGATTTTCGCCCCCCGTCTTGCTGCACCCCCTGGGGTGTGGTGCAGGGCGGGGGATGCCTGGTCGGCGGGAACCCAGCACGGAACCCTCCGGCGTTGTAGGCGGGTGTGGGAAGCGTTCCCCGTTCTCCNCGGGCTCCCAATTTTTTTTTTTTTTTTAGAGCTAATGTGAGAAACAACAACAACAAACAACAACGTTCAAGAAAATAAAAATCAATACCGCTGGCGTGCCAGGGTTGTTGTTGTTGTTGTTGTTGTTGTTTCCCACATTAGCTCTATAGTCCACAAAAATGGGGAACCCGTGGTGTCGAAACCCGGCACATACGACACCGCGAGAAAATAAAAAAACAAAAATAGGGTACAAACCACTCGGAAAAAGAAAACAAAATGAT